TTCCCCGGTTTCTCTGTGGCATCCCAACAATTACTCCATTTACACACAGAAGAAGGCAATGGCAAATCACTTCTGGATCATCTGCCAAGAACGTATATGAACAGGTCCCAGTCCGAGAAAAGGATGGAAGGATCCTGTTCATATGGACCTGTCGTCAGACAGAACACTAAATAAATAATAAATACTGGTCTAAATCCAGTTACATTTTTTTAAAGTACTTGCTCAGTGCCCATATCTGAAGAAATATATTATAAAAACACATATACGAACCAACTGTAAGTATTGCTAATAGGTATCTAACATTTTGCCTTCTGAGAGGGTATGATAAAAATTGGCACAATTTTTCTATTGTTCCATCCACAGAACATCACAGTGAAGTAGCTAGCAGTCCTGCCTTGTATTGAGGATGTAAGGTAATGCCACAAATGGCAACCTATGTGACCATTTTTTTTGAAAAGAATATGTATGTACTCTGGTGATATAAATACCATGGGAATTTGAAGTACAACTGGCAGTACATGAAACAAAAGCTGAGAGTTGTTTTTTGAATTTAATGTTAAAATATTATCTCTTTTAGCCCACGTTTAATTTTCTTAAGGAGGAAAGTAGGCTTATGATATCACCATGCTGTTTTTTTGTTCCTTCCCACTTTTGAACCAGATATTTGATTTTCATGAAATTGGTGTGAACATTATGGCATTGGAGGCCACTCTGAACTGTACACTTTTTTAAATTTTGTGTAATCAGTAATAACATTATGGATGCAGAAACTTATGAGCAGGATTGACACTAATGCCACATAATATAGGGTCCTGAAGTGATGTACAGTAGGGCCCCGCTTTTCGGCGATGCGCTAATACGGTGCTTTTCAATTGCGTGCATATGCCCCACGCGCTCAACTGTTGAGTCAGAGAAGTGCGTCCGGCACCATTTTCTCGTCGCTGATTCAGTCTTTACAACTTTTCTGTGCTCCGCGTGTGTCTGTATTTCTGGCAATTTTTCAAAGTTATTACATACTGTATATTTATATAATATTTTTGTGTTACTACAGTGTAATTACAATGGCGTCTAAGGGTAGTAGCGATAAAAAGAAAAGTCGTAAGCCTCTTACTTTAAATGCCAAGTTAGAGATGATTAAACTTAGCGAACAAGGCATGTCTATGGCCAAGATATATGATAGTGTAAACATCTTATTAGGCTTTGATATGCATTTGCAAGTGAAAAAAGGCAAAGATCCGCTTTTTGGCCGGGATCTGGTCCCTAACCTGCCGTATATGCGGTGCCCAACTGTATTGTGAAATATCTTTGAAAAATACATAATTTTTTAAGGTATTTTTTTAGAATATAAAGAATGCACATGGTTGCCATGTGAAAAGTTTATCTTGCAGTTTGACAACATTGTCTAATGGACCATTGAATGCAGGGATATGAAATATGGTTTATTAATCAACAGTTAGCAACAATGGTGATGATAAGTAACTTTGAGGTTATGTCTGAAAAATTTAACATAAGGATAGTTTGTACTTGACCCATAAGTGCTTACCAAAAGGAACATAGTAATATGATTACTACTAACATTAATAACAGCAACAAACTCTAACATATTTACAATTGCAAGAAATGAAAGAATTCTGTCTTGAGTAGGATTTGATCCTGTGATCATGTTTGTATTAGGCCAGCATGCTAACCTATGAGCTAAATTGCATTTTATTGTTGAATTATAAACATACATTACCCAAGCCAGGGATGATCAAAATATGTTCCACAGGCCAAAAGTGCCCCATTGCACCTCTTCATGTTGCCCCTTTAATGTATCATTAACTTACAACTAGGGCAAATGTCCCAGATCCCTCAATTCAGTGTCATGTTATTTGTATTTTTTAATATGGCAAAGCTTTGTTTTTGATTTTTCATGATGAGAAAGTACATTTGTTTGCTGAACTTTGTGATGAATACTGGCTCTGGAATTTGGCATTGCTGTGTGATATCAGCCACCACGTAAATGACTTAATCCCAAACTTGGAGGTCAATGGAAACACATTTTTGATATATTTGAGGCTGTCAGAACTTTTTAAATGAAGGTGAAACAATTTTGGAAACATTTGATAATGTTGACCTGTATCCTTTTCCCTCCTGTGATTTGCTTGATAAGAATGGATCCATTAAGTGTTCCCTTTCTTTGTGTCCACACTTTTTGGAAGTGCAGGTAATGCTGAGCAGAACCTCAGTACTGGATGTAGTTGAGTAGCTAGATTTCTGCTGCGGTTGTTTTATTCATGGTGAAACACCCCACAAACAGCATGGATAAGAGGTTGGGTAGGCCCCAGAGCTCATCTGGCTGTGATAGAGAAGAGAGAAATGTCTGCTCCTGCCAGAAATTTAACCCCAATTGCCCTGTTCATAATCACTTTACTGACTGAGATACGCATTAATAACCTTGTAATATTAGGGACTTACATGTTTGGGGTTATCATAAATAGTGCTAATGATAATGACTTGAAGCTGCATGATATGCGAGTTAACCTCGCTGAACTAACACAAGCTAACCCCATGCTCTGCGTGTACTGCTTAGGAAGGTCAGTGAAGGACACTGGAGCATCAGCAGAGATGTGTGACAGACTTGAGGTGACACCAACGGTCCTCCACAGTGAAGCCCAGCAGCTGTCCTGTCGTAAGATTCTTATCTCATTCTCCTGTAATTCTTTGCTTTTACTGCACTTGCTAATCTCTGCATGCTGCACATTCCTGGCTTTTGCAATTGTTAAATTGGCCATTAAAACGAGAAAGTAAACCCATCTACACAAATATCATAATGTGTGAACACAATATGTTGTTTATTGTTATTTTGCATACGGATACGGAATTCTGTTAAATACCTTTGCATATTTTATTACTTTATTTGATTCTTCTTATGACTTAATTTAAATTACATTATTATCAGTAGTTACTCTGCGTAAGCAATATGCTTTAGATTGAAATTAATGTTGATATTGTGTTGAGACAGTAGTGTAATGTGGTGTACACAGTCTCTTTGCAAGACTCCATTCTGAGTGAAACTGAAATCTTTCCAGAAAGAAAAATTTTGGGGTTAGAAGTTAAATTTTTTGCAGTTAGGACTGTTCTAGAACTGAATATTTGAAGCACTATTTTAACCACTTTCTTTGTTATCCTGAATTAACTCACATTACTTGCAATTTTACTGCAAAGAATATTATCCTGATTTCTTTCATACCTAGTAATAAATAATTTGACCTGTTTCTTGCTAGTTAGTGTAAATTGAATAGCAGTGTGCAGGGAAGATGTGCCCCTTTTGTATTGTTGCGTAGCAGGTGTTGGTACATTATTAAGTGATCATGGTGAGATATAGAACATTGATGAGTGGGAAGACATATTCATAACATCATAATATGAAAGCATTTTTATTTTAGTACAGTTTGCTAATGGGAATTTTTGGTAGTAAAAGATACACCATGAATGATAGTAGTTACTGATGAGCATATTAATTCATTGATGGTCTTGCAAGGAACAAGCAGCTGTCTTTAAATAAAGAAGTAATCTTTTAAAATGCAGTTAAGAATAAAGAAAATCAGTCTTTTGTGGCAGTAACTATGATCTGTAGCTTTTATGTTTTGTCATCCTGCTTCCTGATAGTGAAGAAGTTGCTGCATCTTTATTATAAAAGATTGAAATTTTAAAATTGAAATTTGTGGTCTCAAATGTCAAAATGTGTATTTTCATTGAAGAATTCCGTCTTCTGGGTTGTTGCACTGTGTAGTCTGGTCGGTGTTAACCAACGTTTCAGAGGTCATACTGCCTCCGTTGGTTAACATCGACCAGACTACACAGCGCAACAACCCAGAAGACGGAATTCTTCATACCCACCGCTGTGAAAACCTCAAATCCTACATGTATTTTCATTGTTAATCGTTCCTACATTCATACTTGATTGACTAGTTGTGGAGACTCAGTTATGTTTATTCATCTTTAGACTCCCAATTATCCAAGTTGGCTGGGAAATATATTTTCCTGGGTAATTGAAACCCCAGATAATCCGCAAATATGAAAGAAAAACACGGAAATGTAACAAATATGTAAGTGTATTTACAGGTATAGACTAAAATTTTTCAAATATTTACTAATAACGCAGAGTATTTTGTATAAAATTGAATACAGTACATATACCAACTGTTTGTTTCAGGATTCCAATGGATTTCTGTTGTCATAAACTTCAGGTTTTAGAAACAGTTGATTTATGTTAATACATTAAATAATGTAATTGTTGTATTTATTTCATTTTAAATCTTCTAGCTTTTACAACAGATTTTTCAAGTTGTTTTTTAATTTTTGTTTAAACCAGATAGACTCCAGTTAATCTACCCCCTTGATAGTTGGGATTCTACTGTATTTACTCCTTAAATAGATTTCTAAACATGTAAGAAAGGGACAAGAAACGTAATGTGTAGATTAAGTTATTTTGAAGTTTGTTTCAAATCTTTAATCAAAATTTTGCAGTGTAAGACATTTCATAAATGTAATATTATCAGTAGACTAGAACAGTTTGTTGGCAAAAAAGATGTTTCAGAGCTGCACTTTCCTATATGTGGACAGGAAAAAAATCTGGACCCATTTTCAGATTCTCCAAACAGTTTCATAAGACCAGTGAAACGATGGGACAGTGACATAGAGATTATTAGCAATCCCAGCCAAAGCAGCATTGAAGTGCTCGATGAACAAGCTAGGTAGGTATGAAAAACTTTGGTAGAGGACCTTAATTTGTAATAGGAAGTATAGGTGGTGGTGTTATCAGTTTTTATGTGATATGAAGTACTTAATGCACAGAAAATAAGGAACATAAGTAACATAATCTAATTATGGTAGACTGCAGGGTGGTGTTACTCCTGCAAGCAAGCAGTCTTCAGAGGAGAAGCAGATGGCGCCAGTTGCAATCCTAGCTGAACATGCAGTCGTGCCAGAAATGAGCAGTCACTTGGTCTCACGTACTGGTCTCACAGAGAGCAGTTCCTCCAGTAAGTTTACATTGACAAATATATGTTCACTTGAGCATTTTGTACACATACGCTGTAAAGTCTGGTAATTAAAGTTTATTGTGATTTGGGTTATAGTATATTTTTAATATATGTAGTAATTTCATCTTACAGTGTGAGTTGCATTTGTGACTGTGTAGGTTCCCTCACTGACAGTGTATGCACAACATATGAAATTCACTCAGAATCGCAGTCATTGAGACCAGGAGTCGTGGCAGCAAAATTAGAAGAGAATGTGATTACTCTTGATGACAGAAATAGTTCTACTGATACAAGAGCAAATGGTGGAATGGGTGAAGCAGCTGATAAATTTTCAAAGCATTTGCTAGATAAACCTGAGCATGAGGATGAGAGTACAACAGTTCTGTCCAAAATGTGTGAGGAGAAATCAAGTTCGCAGATGAATTATTCCAGCATGCTCGAAGGTGAGAAAGTTAGCAGTTAACATTAATTACATTTTGTAAGGGGTTTATAGTTCTTGCAGTGCGAACTGGGTCAACAGTTTCTTTTCATAGTTTAAATTACTTTTAAGTTAGTGTTTGGGTTGATTTTATTCTTTCTTAGGTTCCCGTTGTGATGGATGGTATGGATAAAGGCGTTGATTTGTCTCTCCTGTATGCGTTTCATGTACAAGGAGATTACAGTTACATATCAGCTTGCAAACCAATAGAATTTTTCTAGGTATATTTATTGATGTCTGTGATTTTAGAGCATTGGTGAAGGAATTTCAATGTATTGACACATTTTTTCACTTCAGTTACTTTTTATTTTGAAGTCTGGAGGTGTATATTACAATTGAATATTCTGTCTTTCTTGATTTTTAGTTGTTATTTTTATTGTCTAGTTTATTGGTGAACTGAGTGCAATAGAACTAATGAACAGTGTCATGCATTGTGGAAGTCTTTTCCAAATATTACTACTCACTTGTATTACTTTATTTTACCAAAGTGCTGACCTGCTAATTCTGAGCAAATGTTACTATGTTGGTTACAATATTATAGACACATGACAGTAATGTTGGCTTCATTCAGTAATATAATATGATCGTTTTCTTCTGAGTTGGAAGTATAACTAGCTCCTTTTAATATGGGGCCCTGAAATTTAGTGTGGTGATAAATGTTCAAAATATACCATTATTTAACTTATTTTGAGGTAATTGTTGTGTCTAATGTAAGTAACAGTGTCATGAGTACACTATTAGTTTCTCAAGGACTCTGCTTCATGGAGTTTCTCTGTTTCATAGTGGTAACTAATGAATGGTTAGAAGTAGTCAGTGGAATTTTGTATGAGTTGAGGTCATCAACATCAAACCTGAAGGTGGGTGCATATGTCCAAAACATTTAGAAAGTGTTTTTAAAAAAATGACAAGTGAACAAGCATCAAGTATCTAAAGAACACTGGGATGTTGCACTACAGAATTGGATTATGACAACTTTTCGAGTAGTGCAAGTAGGACTCCAAATTGTGTATTTCTTAATTTATAGTTGCTTCTCGTGTCGCTGAGTAGATTTAGTTTCTTTTTAAAAAAAGTAGGCATTAGAAGTTCTTCCTTTAACTGCTATGGGGTCCGCGCGGTCTGAGGCGTGGGCCTTGTGCCGTTTGGTCGCTGGGACCGTGGGTTCGAATCCCACTCAAGCCATGGATGTTTGTCCGCGTTTTTCTGTGTTGTGCTGTCCTGTGTACAGGTAGAGGCCTGGCCTTGCGACGGGCCGATCCCTCGTCCAAGGAGTCCTACCAAATGTCTATAGGTCAAGCCAACGAAAAAAGTTGGGACCCGCAGTGCTCAGGCACTTGAACAACGGGTCATTCCCAGTATCCTTTAACTGCTTGTTTATTTGTATAGTTGTCATTTAACATTGTCTTGAATTTGTAGGCTTGCTGCAGAGTGTAGGATCTAAGCTGTCTTCCAGGTCCTCAGAGAAGGTTCTTGATTCGTCTAATAGTAGAGAGACTGTCACTGGAGGAAATGACATAGTCAAGTATTCGTATACAGATTTTGCTGTTGTTGATCACCGTGTGAAACTCCATCTGTACTTGCATGTGTTTCATCAAGAGCAGGAGGAACTTTTGTTTCTTCTTAGGGTAAGTATATTTACTGTTAAGGTTGCAGGAAATGTTGCCATAAAGAATTTATAGTGTGAAGTAAATATGCAATAAAGATACAAACTTGAGAATGGATAAACCACTTTTGATGAAATTTATATTGGAGAATTTTTATTAAAAAGTTGTCCGTTTTAATTTAGGTCGGACAGTTTTAACATCTGCTTTATGTAAGAGCTTAAATACTTAATTTTATTAACACTAGGGCATTCTATAAGAAAACAAATGCTTTGGTTGTTTCAGCAGAAAATTGAAATACAAATGAAAGACAGTTTTGATTGAGTTTAGATTGCATTTAAGTCAGATTTCTTTTGTCTTTTGTGTGGTTGTTTATTCATTCAGTATATAGTTCTCACTTTACACTGTATTTATAATTTCATTGTAATTTGAAGAGCATGAATGTTTTTATGCCATTTGTGTTTCTTTCTGCTGAGCGTACTTGTATAATTTTAGTCTTCTTATGCATGGTATGAGGTATCAGAGTTGTCACTTGCTCTCAGAATTGTAATTTACCATAATACTTCACTGAATATCTAAATTTGTACCATGTTATTATTTTAAAATATGAGTTCTAGTTTGTATAATTATGTAAAAGAAACAAGCATAGGAATACCCATTCATTAGAATGCTTGTAACACCATGTCAGTCACAAAATTTCAAAGGCTGCACCTTAGCAACTATCATTTTAAGTTGTCAATACAAAAGTTCCATTATATAGGAGAAAGTATCTGCTCTGTTGAACATGTGTATATGCTTGCCTTAGTATCTTAGTTTGTGGTAATCGTGGAACCAATACATTTATACAGGCTCAGATTATACCACAGTCATCACGTTCATCATACCCTGGCTGCCTTGTCATGTCAAGTAGGAATGTTTATGTGCTTCAGATAACTGGTGAGGAAGGGTGAGTACAAGTACTGCAGCAAGTAACATTAGTTAATAGGGAAATTTTAGAGGTAGCATTTGGTACATATACAGGATAAGAAAATCTGTGCATAATCTTTCCTTAGTGTGATTCCGTGTACAAAAATGTACAGAAAATCTCATACAATGGATGTAATCCATAGTTTAGTTTTGGGATACATTTCACCGTCAGATGGGGCAAGATAACAAAGGATTATGCCCAGCCAAGGTAATGAAAAACAACGTGGACATTGAAGTAACTAAATGTATTCATTTATTCCTTATTACACTGTGTGTCTCATACACAATAGGTGTTTGAACAAGTGTCATGCATTTCAAGGAAGAAAGCAGTGTGTCACATTGTATTTTCCTGTAGACACTGCAGCATGTTGGCAGCAATAGTTTTGACAGCAGTGTGAAATCTTGCTACGAGATCTTTGATGCTCATGGAATGGACTGTGTATGCCTGATCCTTCAGGTGCCTCAGGAATAAATCAAATGGAGTGAGGTTAGGCGACTAAGGAGGCCATGCAATGGGCCTTCCGTGTCCATTTCACCTCCCAGGGTATGTCATGTCGAACCACCCTTGGACATTCTTACTTTATCACTTAGCTAGGGATGCATATTTAAGAATCCCTGGCAGAACAGTTTGAAGAAAAACACGTCTTTGAGCATCCAGCCAGCATGATATTAGGTAGTGGCCCGCAAGGATGTCTTCCACAATATCAGCCCATGTGTTTTATGTTGAAGTGAACTTGACATCCATGTGCACTATATCATGAGGATTAGCCCATGATCGAAGGTGGCTGTTGTGCTCGTGCAGGCGTTTGCAGAACTGTGTCTGTAGATATTTTCAAAGCTGATGTTGGTTCTATAGATTGTGGTATGGAAGTCCAATGCTTCTGGTAGCTCACAGGATCTCATTCCACAATAGGAATTATGGCATCTTAAGTGGCTAGCATCCATACGCTGTGGATGACCTCCATTGTCATGTGAAAGAGGTGTAAGAAATCTTGTCTTCCAAAGATGCTACTTTAGTCATGTAAACACATTAGTCTCTGGATAATGTCATCCAGGATAATAAATGAATTCCCATGATGCAGATCCAGCTTGGCTAAGACAGGTAACCAGGGTTAGGAGCATGTTATATTATTCTGTAACCCTTTGATCACAGCTCTTCCTCATTTGCACTGCACATCTGCACTTAGAGAATAGTTACTACTACATTACAAGTTTTGTATATGGTCGTGTACAACTAGCATTGATGACATCGTAGCTGGATAACGTGTTGCCCCGTTTGTTGGTGGCATGCATCTCAAAAACTAAACATCAGATGACATATGTTGTTTGACATTTGCTGCACTATGGAGATTGTCCAACTGAAAGACAGCATCTCAAGGATTCTGTATCATGGAGTTAGTTAACATTTGTCATAATTTTACTATATCATTTGATGGAAACACACCATGGTGGTCTAGCGGTTAGAACGCTGGTCTTGTAATTCTGGGGTCTCGGGTTTGATTCCCGGCGGTGCCCGAATTTATAACTTGTGTTGGGCAAGGCCGTGGTCTAGGCAACACGGAGTTTTCCTCCGTGGCATCCCAACAATTACTCCATTCACACACAGAAGAAGGCAATGGCAAACCACTTCTGGATCATCTGCCAAGAACGTATATGAACAGATCCCAGTCCGAGAAAAGGATGGAAGAAGGATCCTGTTCATATGGACCTGACCTGTCGTCATTATTTTGCCCGAATTTATAACTTGTGTTGGGCAAGGCCGTGGCCTAGGCAACACGGAGTTTTCCTCATTGGCATCCCAACAATTACTCCATTCACACCCAGAAGAAGGCAATGGCAAACCACTTTTGGATCATCTGCCAAGAACGTATATGAACAGGTCCCAGTCCGAGAAAAGGATGGAAGGATCCTGTTCATATGGACCTGTCGTCAGACAGAACACTAAATAAATAATAAATATTTGATGGAGTTAACAAAATACACAGTTATAGGAATACAATGTTGGACATTGTCCACTGTCTGGGGTTTACTTGATATACATAACATTTAGAGAGTTGATTCTTCTCCAGTCTTCAGGTAATTGGTTGTCATTAAACTGACTGATTTATCATCTTTAAATTATTCTTTGTCACAGAGGTTGGGATTGAACCAACTTATGAAATGGTGTGTATCTCAAGCAATGCGTATATAAACAAATCAGCTGTACCGTTGTTGTGTTGCGTGTGTGCAGGGATGATCCGGAGCTGTGGCTTCGCAAAGTAGACAGTAGTTCTGTTGAAATGCTGATAGTGTTGTTCCCGTTGATGTGGCGGCAGGGAATTGGCATGGAGCTCATGCGGGAAGGTGGAGAGTACTCAAGTTTCTTATTCATCTTTCAAGATCAGAACCACACTGTCAACTTCTTATCTTTTCTAACAGGTAATATATTTATTTATAGTTCATTTAATTTGCTGAAGTCTGATAATCTGAAAAATCCCATTCATTCACTCATACACCTGCATTGAACATATCAGTTGTGTGCCATTGTGTGGTTAAAAATGCCTTGTATTTGGGAGGTTCCAGGTTTGAATCTTATTTCAGAGACTGGCTATCCTAACTCAAGTTCTTTGTGGAATTCATAGTTCATTTAGACAAATACAAAATTGGCCATGGTCACTACTTTCCACGTATTTTGTAGTTCATGACTTGAGCAATCGTCCTACCATTTAGTGACATATAAACTATGAAATGGAAATAATATCATTAAATAACCCAAAATCAGTCTGTAATTTAAACTGTAGAGTGTTCTCTGTTCAGCTGAAATATTTGAGTTCCATGAATATCGTTACATAGAAGTTACACTGTGCTAGTCATTTTCATTCTTCAGAAGCTGTTATTGATAGTTTTTCCAGTGAATGAATGTAGGATATGGAATGCATTGGGCATCACTTGCATCTGTGAAATACTAAACCCTTCCTGCTCCTCGCATGTCCAAATGTGAGAAGAATGAATGAGATGACTAATGATTTGTTACTTTATCATCAGTATCTGAGTGTAATGTGCAGGTGTGGAATTGCCAGGACAATGCAGATTGGAGCATGAGGTAACAGAGAGTCAGAACCTTGCAGTGGAACAGCTGCTGCTATCTGCAGCAGCTGGTGATGATGCTGACTCAACTGTATGTTCTTGTGCCGTGTCATTCAGTTGCAGAATCCAGAAAAACAAAGGTAGGTAGGTAATTTTAAATTGGTATTGTATAAGCAATTGTTTGGGTCGCCTTTGTCAAGTGTCAAATTCCAGTGCAACAGGCTGACCTGTGTTATTGATTTTACAGCCTACAAATTCATTTGGATTTAGCGTGTATATAATATGTTTTCATGATTTTTACATACAGAAAACAAGGAAGTTGGTATGGGAGCCATCATAATTACAACAGACCTCCTCCTTATGATGGATAATTTACAGTGGTTATTTCCAAAATCAGATCATGCTATGCAGACCTACAGTTCTCAGAAGATTAGTAATCTAATAGAAGTTGTGAGTATAGAAAAATGCAAATATCTTTACATAGAAATTTTAACCATAACCTTCATGCATTTTTAAATAAAATTTTTAACAGTGAACATTAAACATGCTGAATAAACAAGGTTTATGTTATTCATAATGCCCGACTGCTCAGTTCATTGATTGAACATGAGTAAGATTTGGGTAGGTGTGAATACAGTCATTTACTGCTGTGAGCTAAGTGTACAGGATGAAATTTTAGAATTCACTGATAAAAGCTATGTATCCAACTTCACGTAGAATTCTGATATTTGTTTAGACTAAATCACAATCAAGATTGAAATTATTGGTTAATCCTTTCAAAGTAATATTTTTATATGTCTCATAATTCAGTATAAGTCTGTAAGTCATACAAACATTAGTCTAGTGAAGAGGAACCAGTGGCCTACTCGATCTTCTGGTGGTCCTAAGAGTGAATTTTGCTAATGGAAAACTAAAACTATTGAATTTAAAGTAATCTTCCCAAATTATTTTTATAGGAATATAGTAACATTATTCAAAGTAAAGGAATTTTATTTTAAAACCAAAAAATTGTCATAATTGAGCAGATATTCTATTGGTAGGTGTTCATGATATTTAATATTCCATTATTTCAATAAGATGAGATACACCATTAGCAGTTATTTTAGTACACATCGCAACACTTTGGGAAAGTAAGGTGTACCCCCCACCATGGTTTGAAGTGTTTTGATTAACTAAGCAGACTTGGTATTAATTACCAAGATATTTTATTAAAGGAGATATTAATTAGAACTGAGTTTTAACTGTATACAACTGAAAATTGTGAAATTAATGTTCTTGTTAACATGAAATTGTGCACCAGTGTTTCTTCCATACACAATTAAGTAACATGTACTTATGGTTTTTTACAGGAGATTGAAGATCATTGCCAAATGAATTTGCATTTCCTTGATGAAGCTGCAGGCAGTGATGAGTCTTGGACCTTGAAACTTGGTACTGAATCTACCATGAAGGCCTTAGTGTCAGCCATTAGCATACCATGGGAACAGTTATTCTCTGTCCCTCTTCAAATTGTGAACAAGACTGTATTAGTTGTTCCCAACTGAGTTCTTAAGATCATTAATCTTGTGCCTTATGCTGGTGTTTGTAAACATGAATGCTTTCTGTGTATTCCCCAGAACTTATAATTAAAAATGGGAGCAAAATAGAAAAGTAGATTTCTTTTGGAAAGTGTATTTATAAATATATAATTTATTTCTAAAACCTGTTTAAGCTGTGAGTGGGTTCACCATAGACATGTTTGTGTAGACTTATATGAGTTATGTTCTGAGTTGCAACAAATCAAGTATTTCACGATTTCCATGTGTGTTCTAATCACTTAATGTAGCACTGTCTTTGTTTTCGAAGCTCAGGCAGCCTCTCCCCTATGCTTCTCCAATAAGGCAGTGACAGCGTTGCTGATGGAAGCTGAGTTGGAAGATTATACTCACACTGTATCTTACAATGATGCTAACATCTTTGTTCATTTTCTTTCATATGAGATATTCTGACACATTAGTTTCAACCGCAGTGTACCACAAAGAGACAACCAGCAGAAAGTGGTGTGTGACTTAGCAGATGAGGATGAGTTTTCTCTACTCATAGTTCACATATTTTCATGGGTTTTAGATCCATTTGCCACGCCATAGTTTGTTTGTACAGTTCAATTTCTTTAATAAAATTGTAAGAACTGATGTATTTTATTTTTGCTTCGTGGAAGGTTATTAAAAATGTGAAAGAAATTAAGTGTATATTCTGCGAGTATGGCACTAAAATGAACACACAAAATAGCAATTTTCCTCCTGACTCCTTCAGATTTAAATGAAATTTGGTGCATTTATAAACTGTGTGGAAGGAAGTAAAAATTGTCAATTTTAGCTCTCTTGTAGTTTTATTTTATAACAGGCATTCAGAATTTGAAAAAAGGGGGATGGGCATGTTTTGCAATGTTGAAGCTTGTAAAAGTTGATTCAACTCTGATTCTAACTGAGCTAGGGAGTCTATTTAGGGCTCATTTGAAAGCTAATGAAATTCTGGTTCCAATGAGTTGTTACACGTGAGATTTAATTTAAATCAGCATCTGGGTCACCAGAGTTGACCGTTGACCATGAATGGCTAAAAATACGCACCTTTAATTTAAAAAATATGTCATGCATTATTTAATATTCTAACAGTGCTTCAGATTTCAAGCTAGGACTGCCATGTGATCAGGAGTTATAAATTATAATGCCGGGATAGCTCAGTCAGTATAGTGACTAGCTACGGGCTGGACGGCCGGGGTTCGATCCCCGACGGGGGCAGAGGACTTTTCCTCTAGCCTCTGCGTCCAGACCGGCTCTGGGGCCCACCCAGCCTCCTCTACAATGGGTACCGGGGTCCTTTCCCGGGGGTAAAGCCGGCCGGGGCGTGATGCTGACCACTCACCCCCATCTAGTGCCGAGGTCAAGGAAGAGAGGAGCTATACCTCCTCTCACCCCAAACGCCTACATGGCGTATAGTGGGACAAACTTTACTTTTTACTGTAAGGCCACTTTGGCAGCTCGCAGGATTAGATGTATGCTGATACAAGTCTAGACATATTTGAACTTGCATGTACATACACATCCTAGCATTGCTTCAGCCTTTGTGTAAGACAAATGTGCTCAGGTTAATTTTAAACAAATGGCCACAATTGTTTTTTAATGTAATTATACATTTGTGACCTACTTTTCATCAGTGTATTCAGTGATAGAAGTTGATATGGAATCTTGATTGAAATTTCTGCATGTTGTAATTCCTTTTGAAGAAGTGGGACAAAGCACATACAGGACAAATATGAGAAATGTCTTACTGTGGATGATTAGTGTTTTTCCTCATTTGACAAGTAAGACAAAGTGTGTGTTAAATGCCATAGAGAATTAAGTTGCAGTCTGCTGTTGTTGAAATACAGGGTGATAAGCTCAATGTCAAAGGAGTTCTCAAGGACAGTGATGATGAAGAAGAAGAAGAAGACTGTCTTGAGAGAGAGAGAGAGACAGTTTGCATTCACTCAGTGATATTTTGCAGTGTTGGCAATCACCAGTTAAACTAAAAAGTTCCTGATTATTATAGCGACAAAAATAGTAGATATATTACAGGAAGAAACCTCACAAACTTATCTAACAAATATCAGGACCATCAACAGATGATTCAGAAATAATGCAACAAGTGAGGGAAAAGTTTCTTGAGACTATAAAAAAGGAATCATCAAGAGTGGTGATGGAGCCAGCCATGATCCCCTTAAGAAAGAAATACATCAAGGAATTTTAGGTGATGTCCGTTACCATTATTTGAGAACTGACCCAATTCATGCCAAGTCTTACTTTTTTCAGCTGTAAATCATAACTCAGGTAACTACTGCATTAAGGACATACAGTGTAACTTCGATATAACGCGGGTTTCGGGGGACACCTTGAGTACCCATGTTATGTGTGAAATATGTAAAACATGTAATCATATGGGGGGACATGATCACAGCCGTGGTGTATCAAGATTCCACTGTATTTGAATAGTGATAATGGGACTGAGCAGTATACAGTAAAACTACCATCAACTAGCATTTTATGTAAGGCATTTAAAAATTATCGTGTACTTCCCATTGCTTTTATCGAAAAACTTTCTTATTTCTTTATTCGTTATTGTCGGTCTTATTTTAAAGTGCATGTGTGAGGCAAACGGCAGGACAATGTAAGGATAAATGACATACAGCTACAGGAGTGATGTCCTGGGCCATCACCCCTTTCTCCAACATTTTCAAGTTTTACTCTAGTTGTAGCTTGTGATTGTGCCAGAATTACCAGCACATTTTGTGGGTACTTTGATGATTCAAGGTCCTCACAATTTTGAATTCGTGCCTAAAATGGAACTTGAAATTCAGTGTTGTGAATAAATAAAAAATGGCTTCATAATTCTGTTGTCTGGATATGGGTCGGACGAATATTACCAGGCTACAATGTCGACAGAGGCAAAGATTGGGATCCTTCAGGGATTATGCAGTCAACTCTTGTACCTAAGTATTCATTCTTTGTCCAAAGGTTTGTGTAACAGTGTTGTCACAAGCTGAGGCTATATATATTGTAGAATGATCGAATGAACAGTGAATAATGAAAAGGAAGGAAGCGGTCGTGGCCTAATATGAAGAAGTATCTTGGTATATGCCTGAAGGCACTGAGAAAAAGAGCTCGCACTTATGAACGAACATTGCCTTAGCTGGGAGGGGGGCTAAGTTCGCTTTGAATAAACGCGCTTATACAGTTTGACGTCTAATGTAGTGTCAAATGCATGATATATTATAGCTACATTAGAATGAAATACTCTGTAGTTAATGTTAAGGGTATTAATGGCAGGAATATAATAGGCTTTTTGGTAGTTTTTGGAGGAATTGTTTATGTATATATAATTTTTTATCTACGGCATGAACGAAGTTGCTCATGACAGATGGTTCCTGTATTATGACTGGCATTACCAACATGTTCGTCATTGATTCATTACCAGAATGATGTTGGTATTAATCTCTCATGTGGAGTTCGGAGAGCTGTGTTTGGGAATATAACCTATTACTATGTACGTCCACAGTGTACATCGTTTCATTTGACTGCATCTTTCGTGGAGGTTCTTTCATTTTCCTTACGTCACCACCTATGTAGGCAATCCGTGGTCATCGCTTAGTATAGAACGGCGAAGGGCTCCGTAGTTAATTCCGCGATGATTATGGTGGGTGTGGTATAGATATATGGACGTAGTGACCTATTTTCTCGTTAATCTGTATAAAGAGCACCTGACAAGATTAACATGGTTTTCGAATCAATTGTAGCAGACCTACTAAATAGATTTCTTGGAGATTATGTGGAAAATTTAGATCACTCTCAACTGAAAATCGGTATATGGGGAGGTAAGACAAACAGCAAGTTGATTTTCTTATCGTATTGTTATAATTATTTGTAGTATACTGCAGTGTGTTAGTAAAAAAAAAAGCAGCAAAACAAGCATATGCTATTTTCTTGACTGTGGCGTGCTTTGTATAATGATAAGCGTTCTGTACTACATTTATTTGCCACTGGACGAATATTGTTTTTTATGTCCAACACTTTGCAGGTGATGTGGTCCTCCAGGATTTGGTTTTAAAGCAGAGTGCCTTGGACGAACTTGATCTCCCAGTTAAAACAGTTTATGGAACCCTAGGTATAACAGTTATATACTAAAAGTTGCAAAACATTGTATTTTATTTTGATTGTGTATTAATAAACAAACGTTATCAAACCTGTTAGTTGTCAAGAAATAAAATGAAATGTTTGCATTCTACCTGTAGAATCATTAGACTGTGTGGAAGAGTTTGGGATAAACTGTACTTCTTTTTACTGGTAGCATATTGTGATTTAAGCTCGTGAAGAATTTATAGTTCTGTGAAAAATTCAATATGACTTCAGTTTACAGTATGTGTAAACTAGGAACTTATGCATTTACTTTAGAATTATTTTATTAGTATCAGTGCAATTTAGAAATTATTTTTTTTAAATCTTAGGAAAATTAGTGTTGAAAATTCCTTGGAAGAACCTGTACAGCGCACCTGTAGAGGCATCAGTGGAGGGTCTTTTCTTGCTGGTGGTTCCTAATCAGGAGGTGAAGTATGACCCTCTTAAAGAGGAGAAGTTGGCTCAGGAAATTAAGAAATCGGAACTCCAGAGGATTGAAGATGCCAAGAAACGGGAGAAGGAGAAAGGTGAGGAAGGAACTGTTTGATGCATAAATTATTATTAGTGTAATTGGATGTATTAATAATAATATGCTAGATGTCCTGTGTGTTCTGGTAATCCACAGTGATCAACATTATGTTTAAGTGCGTTTGTAAATGAATCCAAATTAATGGCATTCATATATATAAAATTACTGTGTTGACAAAAATATGACATAGGATTTATAATGTTATTTGTAGGCATGTTTGGGATATTTAAAACAATTTTGGAACTTATCTCTTAACTTGAAATTACTTGATTTATCATAAATTTTCCTAACTAACTAAATTTCCTTAGTCTTTCACAGAATCACAAGCGTTTACAAAATTCTGAAAATACAGAATTGTTTGAAATTCATGTTTCCACCTTGTTGGTTAGTTATTAGACGCAAAGCAGTGAAATGTTTCTTTTACTTATATTTGGTTTTTGGCTTTAATGAAATTAAATTTTACATCCTTTTCTACTGACTTTCAAGCCTTGATGTGAGTTTTTATTACTTGGGTAATTAATTAGATACAGTATTGCCACTATTCAATGGTTATTTACAATATGCAGCTGTGAATACTGAAAGTTGTACAGTGATGTCCAGTTGTTGCTTGTTTTAAAACAAGCAACAATGAAAAGTAATGGAGGAATATGGCTGAGATTACAGTAGAAAGCCAGAATGGGGAAAAACAGAATCTGACATTATGAATACTGATTGTTTATCTATTATAAAAATTTGTGATTCCTCGTTGTCGTCAAAAAATGACGTCATCAACAATGTCAACTTATGTTTGTTTATACTCGGCATTGTTGTGTTCCACAACAATGCCGAGTACAACACAACAATCTATCTTCTTCTACTATAAAAATTTGTGATTCCCCGTTGTCGTCAACCAATTTACAAAAATTTTGAATTAAGTTTTATGTTTGACTTCCCTTGTAACATTTCATAATATGGCATTGTTACACAATTACAGATAAACCTAAACCTGATGACACATTTGTGGAAAAGCTTGCAACACAAATCATCAAGAATGTACAAGTGAAGATTACTGACATTCATGTTCGATACGAGGATAAGGTGACAAAGCCGGAACAACCTTTCTCTCTGGGCATTACCCTCCATAATCTCTCTGTGCACACAACAGATGAGAATTGGAAAGCATGTATTGTGCAAGATGCAGCTACCATGATTTATAAGGTGAACAGTTTTATATTCTATACTCGCTAAAGACATAAAAATGACTGTGATTTTAAATTTTGTCCCACTGGATGACGTGACTGGAGCATGAAGCTGACAGCTCACCTCAATGTAGTACTGAATTTATGTGTGTACGTGCTTGTATGTAACAATTAAGTGCACAGAAACTTTCTTCTCTCTAGTTGTCTTCACTATATTCAGTCAACAATTATTTTACTTTTGCGACTAGGCAGTGATATCGACCACATATTTCATCACGTAATGAACACACATTTCACTTCTGGGGTGTGACAGTGCCGTCTTGCAGATCTTGTGATGCCTTCCATGCACGCTGAATCCTGTCACTGCGTGTTGTCACTTGTAATTTTCTTTCATCCAGTTTCTGTTTGTCATTGCATCTGTAGTGTAGAATTCCTTTAAAAGGTTCAGGAGATGGCAGCAGTAGGTTGACCTACCGATCCTCTAATACTAGACTCTTTTTCGTCATGGTATAAGCCAGATGTGATGTGGTATATTTTTAAACTTGCAGGACTCATTTTCAGTACATGGCCTTCACACTTTCTGAAATAATTTTTTTTCTTGAGATTTTTTATTTATGTTTTGATGGTCTTAGCTAAAGAGGTTATTTATCATTTTTGGTGTGTGCGCGCACGCGTATATGTATATATTTCTTTTGTTGACTAATATTTTTTATAATTATGCTGTATTGTACATGTACTTACTTAGGACACTTACACTTCTTCAGTGTCTTGAGTATCTGCGGGTTCCAACTTTCATTGGCTTTGATCTATTAGACAGTTGGTAGGACTCCTTAGATGAGTGATCAGCCCATCGCAAGGCCTCTACCTGTACACAAGACAGCACAACACAGAAAGACGCAGACAAACATCCATGCCTTGAGTGGGATTTGAACACATGGTCTCAGTGATCAAGGGGCACAAAGCCCACGCCTCAGACCACACAGCCAGTGTGACGACATTGTACATGTTGTGAAGTTAAATTAGTCTCCTTTGATTTTTTTAGGATAGATTGATCCCTACTTTATTTTTTCTTTTAGGTTTGGGTTATCATCCAAAATGACTTTAGGATAGTATTGACTTGTTTCTAATTGTTAAGAGTGTGTGATGATTATGTGTAAATGGGAAAGCTAGAGGAATCCAAGTTGTGGTTTCTACCCATCTTTCTGTCGTCATGATTTGAATAACAAGGTGAGAGCTAACGCACAGTGTGGTGAGAAATAAAGATGAATGACAGATGTGTGTTTTCGGGGGTGGGGAGGATGACTGTGAAGAATTACTTGTAATCACTTGTCGCATCTGCTTGTTTTACTATAAACATTCTTAAATTGATATTGCATCAAATAAAAGTAAATTCTATAATTGTAGAGTTCCGATGTACGTGCACATATTTAAAATCATATAGAAAGAAAAGCTTGAATAATACATTATAACTGCCACTGTTGGCATAATATATATTTTTAACATCTTACACGCTGAACATTGCAGTCCTTGGGAAATTCTGGCCAAGAGATCAACTGTCGTGACTGACGTTTCTTCATGGTGTTTTCCAGTCCCTGTGGACAAATGGTGGATAGTGCCTTAAATGAGGCTGTGGATGCACTATTTACTCATCAGTCTGTCATGTAGTGTTTTACAATCTTAGGAACTGAAAGCATTAACTAACTAACTAGGATTAAATAACAAGTAACATGTCACACAGTTAGTGAACATTGTGTTTTTTTGTCAGTTGGCACAGTTTGTACCCTAATGTAGAACACAACAAATACTAGAAGGAAGCAAAGAGTCTTTAAAGTAGGGTTTTACGGACATAAGTTCTTGAAATCTGCTTTCTGCATGATTTTGACTGCTTGCCCTTGTTTCAGGTGTTAACTCTGGAAGCGTTTTCTGTGTATTGGAATCCTCAGTCTATATTCTTCTCAGGTAAACCATCTGAAGAAATTAAGAATTTGTTTAAACAAGGAATATGCACAAAAATGGAGCAACCAAAAGGTTATAAATACACATGGTCTCAGTGATCAAGGGGCACAAAGCCCACGCCTCAGACCACACAGCCAGTGTGACGACATTGTACATGTTGTGAAGTTAAATTAGTCTCCTTTGATTTTTTTAGGATAGATTGATCCCTACTTTATTTTTTCTTTTAGGTTTGGGTTATCATCCAAAATGACTTTAGGATAGTATTGACTTGTTTCTAATTGTTAAGAGTGTGTGATGATTATGTGTAAATGGGAAAGCTAGAGGAATCCAAGTTGTGGTTTCTACCCATCTTTCTGTCGTCATGATTTGAATAACAAGGTGAGAGCTAACGCACAGTGTGGTGAGAAATAAAGATGAATGACAGATGTGTGTTTTCGGGGGTGGGGAGGATGACTGTGAAGAATTACTTGTAATCACTTGTCGCATCTGCTTGTTTTACTATAAACATTCTTAAATTGATATTGCATCAAATAAAAGTAAATTCTATAATTGTAGAGTTCCGATGTACGTGCACATATTTAAAATCATATAGAAAGAAAAGCTTGAATAATACATTATAACTGCCACTGTTGGCATAATATATATTTTTAACATCTTACACGCTGAACATTGCAGTCCTTGGGAAATTCTGGCCAAGAGATCAACTGTCGTGACTGACGTTTCTTCATGGTGTTTTCCAGTCCCTGTGGACAAATGGTGGATAGTGCCTTAAATGAGGCTGTGGATGCACTATTTACTCATCAGTCTGTCATGTAGTGTTTTACAATCTTAGGAACTGAAAGCATTAACTAACTAACTAGGATTAAATAACAAGTAACATGTCACACAGTTAGTGAACATTGTGTTTTTTTGTCAGTTGGCACAGTTTGTACCCTAATGTAGAACACAACAAATACTAGAAGGAAGCAAAGAGTCTTTAAAGTAGGGTTTTACGGACATAAGTTCTTGAAATCTGCTTTCTGCATGATTTTGACTGCTTGCCCTTGTTTCAGGTGTTAACTCTGGAAGCGTTTTCTGTGTATTGGAATCCTCAGTCTATATTCTTCTCAGGTAAACCATCTGAAGAAATTAAGAATTTGTTTAAACAAGGAATATGCACAAAAATGGAGCAACCAAAAGGTTATAAATACAGTAAGTAATTGAATAGTTCTACAGTTTCTCTTTGTGCATTACTTGTTATTAAAAGAAATATAAAATAATACATGTTATCTGCGTTTTATATTCAGCGTGTTATTTTTATGAGTACCAGGACTGATATTTATTGTGACCATGTAACTCACGCTTGATTATTTTGAGTGTGGTGTGTTGTTTTGTTGTGTCTTATTGTTCTTGTTGTGCCTTATGTTTTTTGTGTCTCATTGTTTTGTTGT